TTACACAAAGAATTCACTTAACTACCTTTAGTCCTAACTTCCTTCCTGGTGTTGCTTAACTGATTAAGCAATAGTAGCCTGAGTTGGGAGCTTTGATGTTAAAGAATTGTTCATTGTCTAGTCATCAAAGAGAAACTACCAATACTTGTAAAGAACAGAGACAGAGAGAATGTTTCTTATTCCAAGATGAAGTAACAGAATTTAAATATACAGATTTAACAAGGACTAAAAAACTCTCTATACATTTTAGCATTTAAAAGATTGTTAATAAGTACTATTTTGAAGAATTGAATTTTTTTCCTGAGAAAAATTTTTGACTTGCTTTAAACCGCCAAGAAGTTTAAACAGCATATGATATCAAGTGAGTCTATGTGGGGGATGTTGGGTGGGAGAGAATAGGAAAAGGAAGTAAGAATAAGGAATAGCAGAAACGTTTGCATTGTAGAATATAATTTATTATAAGTAGTAAGGAATAGAATAACAGAAAGTGGAGTCAGTAAGGTAAATGTTTGGTATGGGGAAATTTCAAAGAATATGGCAAAATGAAGATATTTAAAGAGAGTGAATTGTAGATAGTGAAAAACTGTGATTGACTTCTCTAGAAAAGACAAATTAGTGGGAAATAAAAAAATCAAGAAAATAATAAGCTGTTTAGAGGGAATGAAAGCATGAACCTAGAGGTCAGGAAAACTTTTAGGAAAATAATCTGGTTTAATTTACTGAATCTTCAGGGATTATAGGAATGATATCACAACCATCAAGAGAAATACAGGCCATGTGCAATGGGAAATAATGAAGCTGAGTAATTTTATCCACATAAAATTTCTGAAGTCAGTGCTTCAACAGCCAGCAAGTTGATGGAAAAAGGGATGTAACAAGAATTCACTAGCCAGCTCAAATTGTATTAAATCAGACTTTTGTTTTCTTGTTTGCACATTTCTGAGTATTTAACTCTTTGGACATGGTTATGAAAATACATTTACATACATGTGTACATGGTATTTGCACCATATTCATACTCCACCACCCTTTCCCCACATCCTCTCCCTTCCCACTGGTTCCACCCACCCCAGGCAGGACCTGTTCTGCCTTCCTATTCATCCGATTTTATAAAAGAAGAAAAGACATTTTTGTTCAAGATAGCTATACAGGAAGTTCCCTTGTGACATTTCCACATATATAGGTATTATAGCCTGAATTGGTTCATCTTCATTTTTCTTCTTGGTCTCCTTTTAATTTTTCTACACATTTAAAAATTCCATATGCATTCCTATACAGAAAGTACATCAATCATATTCACTTTCTTAACTTCCTGCTTTTACCCTTCCGTTCTTGTATGTGTCCTCCCCTTAGTGTGACCTATTTTTCATAATATTGCTGTGTTTGTATTAGATCTATATTCCACATATGAGGGAAAACATGTGGCCTTAAAGGCTTTCAGAACCTGGATAACTTCACTTGAGATTGTGTACTCCAGTTCCATCCATTTACCTGCAGACGACAAAATTTCATTCTTCTTTGTGGCTGATTAAAATTCCATTGTTTATAAATATCACATATTCTTAATCCATTCATCAGTAGTGGGGCATCTTGGCTGTTACCATAGCTTAGCTTTTGTGAATAATACTGCAGTAAACATGGGTATGTTAGGTGCCTTTGTTGTAAACTGACTTACATTCCTTTGGGTATATCCCTAGGAGTGGAATTATTGGATCATATGGCAGTTCTATTTTTAGTTTTTTGAGGAGTCTCCATACTGTTTTCCATAGTGGTTGTACTAATTTTCATTCCTACCAGTAGTGTATGAGAGTTCCTTTTTCCTCACATCCTCATCAACATTTATTGTTGTTTGTGTTCTTGATGGTAGGCATTCTTTTTTATTTTATTTATATGTGCATGCAATGTTTGGGTCATTTCTCCCCCCTTTCCCCTGCCCCCTCCCTTACCGCCCCCAACCCCTCACTACCAGGCAGAAACTATTTTGCCCTTATCTCTAATTTTGTTGAAGAGAGAGTATAAGCAGTAATAGGAAGGATTAAGGGTTTTTGCTAGTTGAGATAAGGATAACTATAAAGGGAGTTGACTCGCATTGCTTTCTGGTACATGTGTGTTACCTTCTAAGTTAATTCTTCTCTTACTAACCTTTTCTCTAGTTCCTGGTCCCCTTCTCCTGTTGGCCTCAGTTGCTTTAAAATGTCTGCATTAGTTTCTCTGTGTGGGCGGCAACAAATGCTATCTAGTTTTTTGGGTGTCTTACCTATCCTCATACCTCCCTTGTGTGCTCTCGCTTTATCCTGTGATCAAAGTCCAATCCCCTTGTTGTGTTTGCCCTTGATCTAATGTCCGCAT